CATTCCTTTGCAGACATACGTAATAAATACTATAATTTCTGATACTCGGAATCTATTGGCAGGGTTTCGCACCCCATATTACTTAGTGTATGCTCGCATGTGTGGTTATGGCTTTGGGTTTAACCCTATGTAATCCCTGAACTCCAGAGCCCTAACCCGTAATTATTGCCGTATCTTTAGCACATGGAATCTGCGGATTTTCCGTGAACCCCCAACTTTCCCAAACCTGCCAAATCTCAACACTGAGCCGCTAAACCCTAACTCCCTCGGCTTGGGTTTACGCGTTGGCTTACTTAAAGGATCATGGGACTTAATAAGTAGGGTTCTAAGTCCTCTAATTGGAGTTGTAAGTATAGTTACCTTAGTTAACCCTACTTGCTAAGTCCCATGATCCTTTAACCCTAAACCCTAAACCCTAAACCCTAAACCCTAAACCCTAAACCCTAAACCCTAAACCCAAATTTAAGTATGTTTCAAAATGGAGTCTTCTCACACCCGGAAGCCCCCAAACGCGAACACCGCTAAAGTGTAGCAACGAACCAACGCAAGGTAGAACGATCTAGTTCTAGATGCAACACAAGCTGCCGTTTTTACTACATCGTACTTCATCGTACTAAGCAGCTTTTCGGACGATTATAAGAACCTTGTCAGAGCCCTGGAAGATCCCTGCAAGAACGAGTATAAGCAAAAACGACCGAAACCCTACAGACAGTCTACAGACCGAGGATGTGGTAGATCGCTACGCCTATCAAGAACTTAACAACAACCCAAAACAACTCTGTGTGTAGAGGTTCTCTTAAGCCTAAATCCAAATCCACAAGCCCCCAACCCTAAAGCTATATCGATAAGCCCTAAACCCTGAACCCTCAATCCTCACAGTAAGGTACCCTTGACAGAACTCCTAAACCCTAAACCCATCTAAACCCCTCAGCCCTACACCCCTCACACCTAGACTCTAAGCCCATCTAAACCCTAAACCCCTAAACCCCTAACCCCTAAGCCCTAAACCCTAAAACCCTAAAGCCCTGAACCCTAAACCCAAAACCCTATAAACCCTAAAACCCTAAACCCCTAAACCCACCAAGCCAGGAGTGCGCGGTTGTTCCTGTTGTTGTCAGCGCTCTTTTTCGCTTTCCTGCGCTGTCTTTCTACGAGGACTGACTTGACTACACACTAAACCCGTTGGGGTTTTCCACGGAGAAGGCTGTCAAGAAGTCGGTTGTTGACACATGAGCGTGCTCCGCAGCCTGACAATTTGGCTCGCTAGGTCCGCTTCTAGGGCTCTTGCCTTAAAAGGAACCTTCAAGTTTACCTTAAAGAAACCCTTAAACTAGGTATCCATTTTGGACAATTTTCAGTTTCCTGTATTGTTTACTATCGAGCCCTAATACTAGTTTATGTCGCAGTTTGAATACTTGTGAGGACTATTGAATTCGACGCCTAGTCTTGCTGTCGGCATGCCCTAGCCCTTGTTCGCGATTTCAGGCAGATGCTGCAGGTCAGCATGCTCTCCGGGGAAACTGTTACGAGCATACCCGTGGGAAAGATAGACGACGTGAAGGGCTTGAAGCAGCACCTGACACAGCTGCACGGTTTTCCACCTCGATTCAGGCAGAGAGTTTTCTTGCACGGCGAGCTTTTGGAAGAAGCCGTGAAGCTGGACTCCCCCATGACCTTGGACCTCGTTCTGTTGGCATTTGCCGGTGTTTCTGAAAAGCAGGTAGAAGAGCTTGCAGCAGCAGCTCAGCAAGGCTCCATTTCCGAGGTGCGAAGTTCTGAAACAGTATACATGCGCGCCCCGATCTGCAGAACGTGGTGCCTGCGTTATAATAGATTTGTACATCTATCTGTACATACGTGTATATAATCTATATATGTTGTAGATGCATCGTATGTAAAAGGTAAAAGCTGTACATACATACATCCATGCATACATCCATGCATACATCCCTGCATGCATGCATGCATGCATGCATGCATGCATGCATGCATGCATGCTTTGGTATGTTATGACATGTTATGTTATGCTATGTTATGTTATACTATGTATGTATGTGTATATGTATTTATGTATGCATATATGTATGTGTCTATATATGTGCACACACATGTAAGTAAAGTACAGTAACAGCAAAGCAAAGACAAGTAAAACGTAAAGTACGCAAGTACGTAAGTAATTAGGTAAGTAAGTGAGCAAGCAAGTAAGTAAGTACGTAAGTAAGTGAGTGAGTAAGTAAGTAAGTAAGTAAGTAAGTAAAACAAGTAAGCAATTAGATAAGTAAGTATGGAAGTAAGTAAGTAAGTAAGTAAGTAAGTAAGTAAGTAGGTAGGTAAGTAAGTAAGTAAGTAAGTAAGTAAGTAAGTAAGTAAGTAATTGAGCATGTAAGTAAGTATATGAGAAATGCGCATAAGTACGTATGTATGTTGTACATGGTATGCATTTATGTGTACATGTGTATGTGTATGTGCATGTATGTGCATGCATTTGTGTATTTATATGTGTGTTCGCATATGTAGTGTAAAAGTATATGTATCTATATGTAGCGTACATACATGTTTCTATATGTATATATACACATGTATACACATGTATTTACATGGTTGTGTACTGGGAGTGTCTTCAGCAGTAAGCTTGCGTTTGTTTTGCCATGGAGGGCTCGCCTTGCTGAACTCCTTACGAAAACCAGGTATACTTGGGATGTTTTCAAGAAGGCCGTAATTCAGAAGGCTTACTATGCAATATTCCTTAGGGCTCCTAGTATATTCGTAGTATATTACCCCAACCTGGACCCTAAATGACCTACATTCTTAAGGGTTCAAACAAGGAAATTATGATAGGGATCGCCAAAAAGGTAGGTTCTTTAGGGTCCAGGAACACGCCACGATGTTGTTTCGATCCAGACAGGTACCTTCAAGACGTGCTGAACCCTAAAATCATGGGTCTAAGGCCAATATATACCATATAGGGATTCATAGTATTTGGGTTGGTTTAGGGCTTTTGGTCGTTAAGGTAAGTCTTTTGGCTTTGGGGTTTGTCTAGGCTGTTTAGGGTTTGTTTGAGGTTTGCGCTCGGGCCAGGGTATACATCATAGATAATTGCAGCAGCTAGATCGATGTATTCACATGACCTGGAATAGAATCCTCGTCATCCCGACACCTTACAGCAAGCCCTAAACCCTTCTTCATGTGACGTTGAACCTGCGCAGGCGCTACACCCTCAACCCTAAACCCTAGACCCTAAACCCTACACCCTAGCAAGCACGACCCTCAACCAATTTTTGCCGATCACCAGACCTGAAGACCTTTCAGAAATTTCCGCGCCCTCCACTTACAGGATCATGGGACTTAGTAAGTCGGGTTATAACTAAGGTAACTATACTTATAACCGCCGCTTATAGGGGACTTGTAACCTCACTTACTAAGTCCCATGATCCTATCAGTAAACCCTTGAACCAACCCTAAACCCTAAACCCCTAAACCCTAAACCCTAAACCCTAAACCCTAAACCCCTAAACCCTTAACCCTAAACCCTAAACCCTAAACCTCCAAGCAGGTCGAGTCCATGCTGCAACTGCCCCAAGATCCAGATTCTAGGTGTTTCAGTGATATGGGTAGTTCTCTAAATTGGGGTCCTTTTTTAGGGCCCTGTTTATAAGGGTGCCGTACTATATTGGGGACCCAAAAAGGGACCCTAATTTAGAGAACTACCCATATACCGTTCTTTTAAGGCCACAGCCTCCTCACTGGAATCGTTCAGGCCTCATGTTCGAATCGAGC